CGCGATTTTACCTTCGTTATAAAAACTTTTCGCGATAAACGACATTCGCGATAAAAGTTTCGCTGAATTGACCTGATACTGTGAGCTATTATCATTCTAACATTATACATTTTAATTAATAATGAACATACAGACCATGGTCCTAAATAAAAAGACCTTTTTATGTTGTTTTTACCTAATTTAATCCTTGTTTATTGGGACTATAAGTAAAATGCTTCTTTAATAAACTTATGGTTTTTCATACAGCTAAAATAAAAATGAACTAAAAATTCACAAAAACCAAAATAACTCCTCATAAAAATTAACAAAAAATACAATATACTAAAATAGGTAAAATATTATATTACGGACCGTAAAATATAAAAAGGCTTGTCCAGATTGTGGTCCTCAGAAAGATTTCATTGCTAATTAACAAATGTAAATTTTTCTTACCATTTACCGTATTACCGGACCCTAAAAGGCTCAGGCTCGATTACAGCGCCTTCACTACTGTCATAGTAGCTGCGCCATTGTTATCCTAAGAATAAAACTTTATGAAAATTAGGCTATCTAATTTAAAGAAAAATATATAATCAATTATACCACATATTTATTTCAATAAATTTCACAAAAATATATTTAATATTCAATCGATTATTTTTTAAACGCAAAAGACAATATCAAACTATATAATACTTTTTACAATTGTAATCTTAAAAATTAAAAAAGATTAATTTTTATTTTGTAATTTTATATTTCCAGGGTTAAATGAAATGTTATTGTAATCCGATATTACTATTTTGATATACTCGACAACGCATTATTACAAATGAGATCACCCCATTAAAATGACGTGCGCTGTCATTTATCATTTAAGAATGCTAAATATCAATTTTTTCTATTTAAGCGTGCTTAAAAGGAGGATTATATTTTATTGGTATGTTTGAAAAAAGGAAAGAATGCCTCCCACACACTACAGATATTTTTACTATCTCCGCGCTTAATATAAATTAAAGCTAAAAGAAAATTGATTTTAACTAGCTAAATTAGATTGAATTCCATATAAAAATAAAATGTGTTATTATTCATCCTCACGTTCAGAAGCTTGGTTCCTCCTAGCAACACCGCTTGTAATAGTGGTTTTAGGCGAGTTTCCTAATAATATCATAGGCGTACTTTAAAAAATTTAAGTAAAATAACTTGATTTTTTTTTGAAAACAAGAGGCACCAATCATATATATTCTAACAAAAATAGGTTTAATTGCTAAAAGATACAAAAAGTCCTGTTTTCATTTAAAAAAAAAGATAAAATCATCATAACCATAGCCAGGGTTTTCCTAAGGTGAGAGAGATTTTGGACATTTCTCCTCAAATATTTTATTGGAGGGTTAGGCCCGCTTTTTTTGCGGGCCATTAGCTGAATAATACATTTTTAAAAATAATTTTGGTCTTAAAGATTTTAAGATTAAAAAATTATTATTTTAGATATATATTTTTAAAAATATATTGTAGGAGAATAATTTTTTTTATTAAAATACTATTTACGGAAACGGCAAATTTGTCAAGGGGGATTTCCATACCTCTTGAGCTACGCTACCCCTATATCAAATCGTTTGTAATAATATATGATAATTAAATAAATCTTATCGGATCGGATCGGATGTCATATTCTTATTTTATATATAATTTTTTGACAAAATAAAACCTTATTGTACCTTTATCTCATTTTTATTGTAAATACAAAAAAATATATATAATGACATCACGAAATACGAACAAGATGAACCCGAATCGGTAAATAATAAAAATGTTATACAAAAACATATATATATAACCCAATTTTAAACTTCATTAAAAATTAAATAAAATATAAAAAAAATACTCATAAAAATTTTATATAACATATTATATATATACTTAAACAACAACTCTTATTTGTATAAGTCGTTTAACATTTTTTTGGAATGTTATTTGAAGGTGGGGGGGGGGGGGTTCGAAAGAAACTTAATTATTATTATCACAAATTATTTAGAGGTTCTTCGAATCAATAATGTTGTTGTGCGTTTTGAATAAACAAACAAAGACTAACTAAAATCAAAATTTAAAATACCATGGGGGGCGGAGATCAAGATCCGCTACCAAGGAACTTTTCATTTGAGCCGGAGGGGGCCTTAAACTTTTGAATCAAACTTAACTTATATTCATTTTTATTAGTGTTGTTAAACGGCTCGTTTTGAGCCGATTTTTAAAAACGGCTAACTCATTATTCCATCCATAAAAATATTATGCAAACCTGAAGATTTTGCTCATAGAAGCAACAAAGGTCTAGACATATATAAACGAAATCTCGAGGCTTAGGCATAATTTTTCTGGCTAATATATTGAGTTAGCCGTTTTAAAAAATCGGCTCAAAACGAGCCGTTTAACAACACTAATTTTTATTGATTAATACACAAAATTTAATGGCCGAAATTGTCCGAAATTCATAAAAGATTATATATTGTGCTGGAATACATTTCCGGTTAAATCGGATTCTTTTAAATTTAAAACCCCCTGAGAAATTTCCGAATGCCCGATGGATTCCGTATCCCTATACGAATACAACAAGCTCTTAAGTGCAGATATAGTATTACTTTTTTTTCACGCCCGACCCGATAATTTAAAAAAAATTTGTTCGACCAATTCAAATCCAAGTATATTATTTATTTATTTCTTTTGTCAAAGATCTAACCCCAATCCTAAAATTTATTTAGAAATAGGTTCTAATCCTATTTTTTAAAAATATTTGACTGTTGAAAAATTAAGGATATTTTAAATGAAAACGGGAATTGAAAAGAATATTTTTTTAAAAACAAATCAGAAGGGAAGCAAAAATAATTTAAAATTATATCCAGCTTCGAGTTCCTTTCTAATACGAAATAAATATTAAAATCCGAATTCGCTTTGGTGGGATTCTCGATTTGGTCCTTGCTTAGTTAAATATACTCTTAGAAAATAATTGATTGCCATCTAATCCAATGAAAGGGAGTTGATTCAAATTCATATCATACTAATTTTACTTTTCATTTCATTAATTTTTTTACCAATTAGAAATAAAGATAATTTTTATTTTAATTTATTATACTGGAGCAACATCAGTAATTTTATGCATTTTAAATGTGACAAAATTTTGAAAGGGGGGGGGGTGATACATTTTTGGAGGAGTCAAACCCTGAGATAGGAATTTTTTTTAGTTATGACCAGAGTTGGGCAGGTTCTCAAAATAAATGAATCTTGATACAGATTCTTTGTAAAAAAAATATCTTAGATAGATAGATATCTTAGTTACAAATATTCGCGGTACTGGCCAACTCTGGCTATGACTTTGGCAGCGTTGGCGAAAGAATTTGATATCACATTTCACGTTAACCTCGAAAATCCTAAAACTAACAAATTAATTATATATTAATATTAACATCTATTTCTTTTTATAAAGATGGCATTGAAAATTAAATTTCTGATCAATTAGATTAATCTAATAATAAAAATATACATTTAATAAAATAATTATCCTTTGTTTTTTTTTAAACATTATTTCCAATAAAAATGCTATAAAATAATGAAACTTTTTTTTTGATTTTAAGGGAATATTATATTTGCCAAAATTAATTTTTTTGATTTAAAATAATATACGAATTATTGTCAATAAATAATATTATCATCGATTAATCTTAATTAAATTTTAAAAAATAAATTTCAAATCTGTCTAAAAAAAAATATATTGTTAAAAAATACACCTCGCAGGTTAATTAATTATCAAACATTAAAGAAAATATTCATCCTTTTTTTCGTTAGAAAACAATGAATATTATTACATTTTTGTTTTATAAAAATTGTCATTGCCGCATTTTGGTCAAAAATTTTCAAAATTTCTATCCCTAATTTTTTAGTTTTATGCAAAGGGAAATTTATAAAAAGTTAATTAGAGTTATATGAAAATGAAACCTTTAAAAAAAATGGAAAGAAAAACCCTAAAAATGAATATATTATTAAATTTAAATGGCGAAAAAATAATAGCTAATTCATAGGTAGATTAAGGGATAAATTTTGTTACATAAAAATGGTAGAAGGGCGGCGTCCCGACAAAATTATTTCAAATATTTTAAGAAATCACTAAAAAATTCTTAGAAATGGGGATTATAAAAATTATTAATTAAAAATAATAAAACGATAAATAAAAATATGTTTTATTTGATCTAAACTAAAATTTGAGCTAAATAACTCAAATCAGGTTAGATATGACCACCTTACCCCGGGTTTGAAGTGAATGGCACTTCTCATATATGTTAAAACTAGCTTGTAAACTAAGACAGATCGAACTTTAGGTTTTTTTTAAAATTCATTAGCTTGGATGATGAGGATATCATAAGTATATAGTTTTATAAGACAGAGGACAAATTTTTTTACTACAAACCTGAAAAATACTGTTCATATGACCAGGGTCTCTCCTACATGTTATAAAGGCCTGATGTGAGCTAGGGTTAATATATAGGCGATGAGCTAGAGTTATATATATATTTTACTGATACTAGGTATGAGCTAAGAACCTAATGCTGGCTAGTTTAGTAGTTAGTATATGAGATCATTGGTAGATATATTTTCCTGATACTATAAACTAAAGCCAAATTTCATATTCTTTATAGTAGGCTAAATCTAATTTCCTACTTTCGTTCGATAAATTAGTTAATTTTTCTAGCGCACCGTATATCATGTTATATAGTACATGAAATTTTAAAAGTTAGTCTACAGTTTTTTTGCCCATATTGTTTTTTTAGACTTCATTTTTATAGGATTAAAAAAACATCAAAAAGGCATTTTTTATTCATTGTCTTTTTGTTCCATTACATTTATGCCCGAGGCACGAACACAATTTTGGCTAGAATTATAATTGATATTGTCAAGTTTAGATTTGTCATGATATAATAGATAATTTTTATTTGACCTCATTTTTATATGAAAATATGCTAAAACATACATTATAGCCTTCGCCTCCTTAATAGTTCTATTATCGATCACAGTGACTATGATAACATCAATGTCTATGTCAGCCATATGCACCAATGGGGAAATCAAAGGAGGTTCAATAAAAAAAATTTAAAAATAAATAAAATATTTTTTTATTTAACACGTGAACACGTCGAATTTTAAAAAATTTATTTAGTACGCTCATACCATCGGAACAAGAAACGATAAGATTATAATTTTTTTTTAAAAAACTAAAATAAAAATAATTAAGCCCTAAAAAAATTTTGGTTTCATTATGAAGCGAAAGTAGAAAGAAAGAAGTGTCAGTTCTTATTTTAAATAAATAGGGAAAGGGAAAAATCATTTGTTTCCAAAAAAAAAACTAATATCTAATTGAATGAAAGTAAATTTTTGTTAAATAAAACAATTTTATAGGAGGGGCCTATTTTATGATATCCAGGAGTTTGGGGCCCGAATTCGGAGGAGCTATCGGTATAATCTTCTCTCTCGCTAACGCTATCGCAGTGTCTATGAATGTGGTGGGATTGGCGGAAACCGTAGTTGATATGATAAATGTAATAATTTTTTTTAAAAAAATATTATTTAATATAAAGTTTCCATCATTTTTTAATATTTCTACAATAGAGGTAATTTTTTTTAGCTTGATTTATTAAATAAAACATTTTATCATAAAATTTAAAAAAAAACAAAATAATTAAAGGACCATGCTGGGACACTGTATGGCATAAGTTCCATTAACTGGATAAGAATAGTTGGTTGCGCTGCAGTAATACTTTTACTGGTTATAGCGATGGCTGGTATGGAATGGGAATCAAAGGTTGAAAAAAATACTTATTTTTAATATGAATAATATTAAAATATGCTAATTTTTTTGAATTAAGAAGTTAAATTTGTTTTTCTATATTTGTTCAAAATTTTCAAAATATATTTAAAATTTTTTATATAAACAACTCAACATAACATAATTTTATAAATATAGCACAAAAATAAAAATGAAGTTTTATAATTGTATACTAATGTTACAATAATCTTTCAATAAATTTTACAATTAATTAATTTTACAAAAACCACTTATATGGACCTAATAAAAATAATGAATAAATAAATAATTTTATCTAAATGAAATTTTTCGACATCAAATTTTTAATAATATGTGATAACATACTTCAATTTAACAAATCTTCTTTATGATTTTCTTAACATAGTCAAGAATTCTGTCTGGTAAAATTTAAAGATATGAAAAAAATGTAGGGTAGGCCTTGTTCTCGAAAAAAATGAAAAAGTAAAAAAAAACATAACCAAAAATAACAGTAAACAAAAAACGAGAATAAGATACGAAAAATAACAATGCCACCAAATACTTAAAACAAATCAAAATATGGTGTTCTAGTACAAAAGTTGTTTAGTCTTGATTAAAAAGCAAGAGGTATCAAAATTAAGTCATACCAGGACACAATCGTACAATTTAACTTAAAACAAAAAGGATTTATAATTTTTATACCATAATTTTTTTTTAAAAGAACTTTCCGACACTTACAAACACAAATATTATATCATGCGTTCAGGGTTATAAAATTTACAAGCTACTTAAATGTCAAATAAATTATTTTTTTTTAAACAAAAAATTTCGAGTTTGACATGATTACAGAACGAATTATTATTATTTTTTATAATAAATTACTAAATTACTATATTATTTATTATTTTAAACCATCAACTAGTGTTATTATAAAAGGCACGATTTGGGTCTATTTTAAAAATGGTCCGATTAAGATTTTGTCCAAAATAATACCATCTACTGGAGATTTTGCTCATAATGGCAAAAAGGTTTGGCCCTCTAGTTGCCAAATCTCGAGACTTACATAATATTATTTTGCCTAAATCTTAATCGGGAACTTTTTAAAAATCGACCCAAATCGAGCTTTTTAATAAAACTACAATCATCAATTTATATGCTTATAATTACATAAAAGGCTCAAATCGTGTTTTTACTGATCATCCTACTCTCTTTCATAAATTATTTCTTGGGATCTTTGATGCCACCCACCTTATACAAAGAGGCCAGGGGCTTTGCCGGATATCGAAGTATATAAGGATATTATTTGAACTCTAAAGAAAAAGAAGCATTATAATAATTTTGATAGTTTTGGAAAATTTTCCTAAAAAATTAATTTAGTCAGGTCTGAACTTCAGGGCCGTGCTAAGAATTTTGACGGCCTGGAGCAAAAATTAATTCGGCGAATTTTTAAAAACCACCAATTATATTACCTTAAAGGCCATTTCCAAAAGTTGTTTCTTTTCAAGACTGTTTCCTAGTCACGTATCAAGCAATATTTTTCTTATTAAGAATTAAAGTAGGATAATAATTTGTGGGAATTTTTTTACATGAGTGAATATATTTAAATTTACTCTTGTCGTATCAGATTCAGACGCTATTTAATCGTTAATATAAAAATAGACGATTTTTATATTTATTAGCAATTAAATGGCGGCTAATTTATAATATTATTCAAATTGTTTCACCAAATTTATTAAACTACTTCGTTTGGGAATGCAAAATATTTGCTCAGGAAACCATAAACATGACTTGTTTGGAAATGGCGTAAACTTTATAAAAATCATAAAATAATCACCTGGGTTCGTCATTTTTAAAATAAGATTCTAAAATAAGCAGCTTAGAAAATTAAGCAATATATGCAATTATTATAGCAAAATAAAAATAATTTGTGATAAATGACGGAATTAGTTAATATTAAGCATAAATTATGTAAACATCTATAAATTTACTTTTAAATACATTAAAAACAAAAATTTGGCTGCTCTTAAAATGATTTAATTTTAGCAAAACTCTGCCCCTCTCCCTACTCTAAGCTGGACTTTAGCCTTAAACACATAACAAAAAAATGTTAGAAATGTTTTTTCTTTCTTTTTTTAAAGTACCAATAAGGTATAAAGTGTTATCGTTTCTTTCAGTTATCAAATTTAGTATCAGGTCATTTCGGCTTTGCACCATATTAACCGACGCCTTAGCCGTTATGATTGACTAATAAATCAGCTAAGCCGAATCCTTTCTCATTTACTCTTCCTAAAATAATTGTAAATATTATTATAACTTTTTTAAAAGTGTCCTTTATAATAATTATTTAGATTACGAGCACTATGTTTTTAAAATATTTGAAAAAATACACTATTAAAAAAATATTTATTATATTAAATCACAAACGTTTTTTTTTTAAAAAAAAATTTATTTTCCAAAAAAAAACTAAATATTTCAAGCGTATTTATTCAAAGAAAATTTTGTGTCCAGTTTCAGGGGAGAAACATTTTTTTCGATTTTCGCTATTTACTTCCCATCCGCTACTGGTATCTTGGCCGGAGCTAATATATCTGGAGACCTTAAAGTTTAAATTTTCTTTAAAAATTATTATTTATAAAGTCACATATTTAAATATTAAAAATAAATATTACAAAATATTTGATATTATAATAAATTAATGTTATTTAAAAAAACACATATGTAAGTAATATTATAGAACTTGATTTTAAAGTTTTTAATATTTTGATTTATATTGTAAAGGTTGTTTAATCTGGATTATAACTAATTAACCATTTCGTTAAGAATCTATAAATATAAATAATATTGTGATATAATGTTCAAATAAATATCATGTAAAAAATACAGGGCCGTAGCCAGGAATTTTCACTTAGGGGGGCCAAGTGCTTACTTGGGGGGGGGGCACTATTTTTTTAAAATCAAACAAATAATTACGCATTCATATAAATTTTTTCCTATTTTTATTAAAAATTTAGTAACAAAATAATACTATAATATGAATATACAAAACAAAATAATACTATAATATGCATATACAAAACAAAATATTACTATAATAGAATACGGCGATTTTTATTTTTAAATTTTAATATAAATGAACTAAAAGATAAATTCTGCGTTATTCTTTTTTCATACGCCATTAATACTTTAATGTAGAGAACGAGGCCTCACAAGAAGCCGTTGATATCCCAATGATTATCGCTGCTGAGTAGCATTTATATAATTCTTTAAATGCATGATTATATTTTGTTTTATACATAATATGCAAGATATTTTCAAAATTATGATTTTCTTTAGCTTCCGAAGCTAGCAATCCTTTTGCTATCTTCATTTCATGATGCAGTGTTTCCATATTTAAGTTTAACAGGGATTTTAATGGGGCCATTTTATCTGATAAAAAATAATCAGGGTCAAGGGGGGACAATGTATTAAAAGATGAAAAAAGATTAAAATCATCTTCTGTAAATCGGTCTAAAAAACGATCCACAAAGTTATCTATAATTTCATAATATATCCTTTTTAAAGAACTCCAATTGGAGTCTTTTTCACAATCGAATTCTAGTTTGCTATCAACTAAAAAATCTTGGAAATTTTTAGGCGTTTTACGTACCCGTGATGATTTTTGGGGAGTAAGATTAAATTTTGATAGAAGTTTTTCAGCCTTAATCATAATCAAAGCAAAAGAATTATCACTTCTTTTATTTTTTAATATATTGATAGTAGAATCAATACAATTTTTAGCATCCACTAGATTAGTACCTACTGATTGTAGATACTTATTTAGTGGATCTATTGTAATTAATATCTCATAAATTATGATGGCTAATATAATGTAATTTATATTAATACATTGAGATAAAAGACCAGAGGCTTCGACTGAATCATGAATTGAAACCTCTGAATTAAGAGTTCTATTAGAAAAGTAAAATAATACTTCACCAATAGCCTCAAAATTCTCATAAATAATGCGAGATGTTTCCAAATGACCAGGCCACCTCTGGTCTAAAAGTCTCTTAAGGGTGTGGCCTGTATATTTACAGGATACGTTAAAACGCCTGAAAAAATTATACAATGCATTTGATAAATTAAAAAAATTAGAAATAATAACAATATTATTATACCAATTTTGAACCACAAGATGCAACTTGTGGATGTAGCAATGTATAAAAGGAACATTTTTATTAATTTTTTTTTGAAGAAGTGTTTGCACTCCTCCATTTCGGCCAGACATAACGTTTGCACCATCATATGCCTGGCTTATTATATTAGCTGAATTAATATTTAGATCATTAAGTTGCTTTAAAATGCAATCTGTAATGCTTTCAGCAGAAAGACACTCTAAATTAATGATTCCTATTATATTTTCTTGGATTTCTCCAGAAAAAATATAACGAATTATTATGCTCAGGTTTTCACAACCTGAAGCATCTTTTGTCTCATCAGCCTTAAGACAAAAAAAGGGCATCTCGCTTTTATTATATTTGTCTGAAATATGTTCAAGCACCATATTTGCCATAATGAATATTACTTCGTTTTGAATCTGTGGTGATGTATACTGGGCATTTTGGGGTATAAATTTCATAATTTTATTTAATTCAGGGTCTTTTTGGATGGTGTAGGAAAATATTGCTATAAATAGCCCAGAAGAATAAATTATGTTCTCATCTTTTGCAGCATCCGTAATATTTGTTGAACCAGTCCCACGGAAAGGTAGCTCTTGTATGCTAAGAAATAGCATCAAATCAAATATTGATTTAATATAATATTGATTACGATTAATTTGATCACCTCCCAACATTTTAGTTATTTCTGTACCTTTGTTTATATTTTGATTTTTATCATACAATATTGTAATTGAATTTAAATGAGCTTTTGAGCTCTCGTGTTTTAGCAGTCCCTTCTTGGCAGCTAACGCATTTTTCCAATTTCTGAATCCCATTTGTCCAAATTCATCACTTGGATTACACAAGTATTTCCTACATGGAAAACGAAAAGCAGCGTCAGCTTCTACATTATACTCCAACCAGTCTCGGCCTCTATACCATGATTTTTGAAATGATCTTGGCCTTCCATGGATATCTTTTTTCACGTAATTGTTTAATTTGATTTGATTTGGTTTATTCTGGCCAAAATCACCTGGGATTTGAATTGAACCATTAGAGGACTTTTTTGACACTAAAAATATTATAATTAATAAATTGTAATAAGAGAAAGGGTCATAATTAATAATGGTCATCAGGATGGGCGAAGGAAGGGCCTGCTGAAAATGAACAAACACAAAATTTATCTTGTATTTAAGATACAAGTATTTGCTATACTGTAGTGCCCAACCCTGATGAAAATTATCAGTAAAGTTGATCAGTAAAATTATAGATATTCAGTATTAAAAACTAGAAAAAGGTCATAAACGTTATATCTTTAAAGATTAACAAAAAAATATAATATTTTTATATTTATAAATCAATTACTAGTTGCCTCTTGACAATGAGAGACTGAGCTGCTAGATGAAGATGATTGAGTCTCTTCTTCGTCTTTATTTGTTTTAAAATCAAAATGTAATAATGAAACACCATAATCTCCTACTACTATTGATATTGTCAAAAATATAATAGAAAAATTTGAGTTAAATTTTAAACTATTTACCATCTTCCTCCTCCTGAGTGTAGTGAGGATCATTTTCTAGATTATTAGCTTCATTCATATCTTGAAATATGAGTGAATATATTTATTTTAATAATTAAAATTATTATACAAAAATGATAATATTAATAATAAATGTCTGTCTCTTATCTTATATAAAATAAATATATATGAAATAATAATATATAGGTAATACCCTATATCAATATCATATAAGTCATGAAATAATAATATAAATTTATACTAACTATGAGAAGAATCAGTTTCTGAAATTTCTGATGTAGTATTACTAGATGTTTGTAGAGGTGATGTTGCTTGACATTTGTTTAACTTTAACTTAAAATAAGAGTTAATAACTGATTGTTTCTTCATAATTTTAAAATAAACGTTGTAAAATAAAATAACTGGTTATATATTATAATATAAATGTGATACCTATAGAGAATGTTATACACAACAAAAAAAAATGAAAAAAAAATGAATGAATGATAATTTAATATTGGGTAAAAATAAAAATAAAACAGGATAGAAAAAAATTTACAAACTAGACATGTTTGTAGAATAAATATTCAAAATTTATTTTAAAAATATAAAAATAATCAATTCTAAATAGACATGTTTTTCGAATATTTTTGAATAAATATTCAAAATTTATATTAAAAATATAAAAATAATCAATTCTAAAAAAAATTTTCAAATTTGGGGGGGGGGGGGGGGCCAGAAAAATTTTTGGGGGCCAAAGATCTTTTCTGGGAACCAGGTTTGGGGGCCAAAAATTTTTTTGAAGCCGGCCCCCTCCTACGTGGCTACGGCCCTGAAAAAATAATGATTTAATGTCAAAGGAGTTTGCTAGCCATTATTTAGGCGTGATAAAAAGTCATCTTTTTATACTCTATGTCCAAATTCGTTTTCAAATCGTACAAATATAAATAGCGCAATTATTTGATTTGATTCGAATTGGATACGAATAATAGAATTATTGGATTCGATTCGTATTTTCGTTGGCCCAGTCCAAAGTTGATTTTATTTTTTACGTTTGTATAACGATAATATATTAAAATGCAACCGTCCTTTGTAAATAAACTGCTTATGACATTTGCATCTACTTAATACATTAACCCTTTACTAAAGTGGTAGTAAAAAATAAATTCCGCTTTTCCGTAGGTTGGGGGGGGGGGAGGTATATTCATTCTCCAAAAATCTTATTTAGCCTAAATTCAAATTAAATTTAAATGCTCGTCTCGTTCCAATGATGTCATTAGTTTAATACTATGTATTTCAATGAATATACTATTAATTACAAAAAAAGTATTATGTTACAGTCAAATCCTAGAATCAGTTCAATACGCGTATTGCCCTAATCAAATAGCGTAAATATCTTATATAATTATCTGAAATTTATAGGATAAGTATTCTACACATGCTGCAATAAATTTCCAATTTTAAAATAATGGCGCTAAATAAATTTTTTAAAGTTGAGTTATACTCATTTGTTTAAACTTTAAAGCGTTTTTTTAACATTTTTATAATATGAGAAAGAAATAAATAAATGTATTTCGGTATGTATATAATTCCTATCCTATAAATTTTAGATAATTTTATCATGAACTTTTGAATCATTTTTAGATGATTAATAAAAAAATATCTAAGATGTAAATCAGCCCAATCACGCGAATCGATTGATAACGTGATTTGACTGTATTATTCATAAATTAATATCATTTTATCAAAATTAACTTATAAATGTACCATATATTTGATATCAATGGTGTATAGAGTTTGATTTGAGGTAGTAAAAATAGCTTTATGATAGTTCCAATATATCTTTTTGAAAAAATGATTTATATATTACTTAAAATTCATATTATTAATTATTCCTATGATAAAAAACGATTTTTTTTTCAAACTGTAATTAGTTATAAAATAAAATACTTCCCAATTATGATTTTTTCAAACCTTTTATGGTAATTAAGTTTTTTTAGAATTATAATATTAATCAAATTACTTTAAAAAAATATATAGTTGATTTATTGATGTTAACTACCATATCTTATAATATCAGGGCGATCGCTTGGGCAAAAGCATGCGCACCTTGTCCAGTGGCGTCGCTAGGGGGTGGCGCGCAGGGGCTCGAGCCCCCTGGAAAATTTGAATAGCCCCCTGGAGTAAAAAAATGTTTTTAATGAAATCTTAATCCCTTGAACTAAAAATAATTTTTTTGATTGCCCCCCTGAAAGATTTCTTTCACTATTAAGTAAAATATAGATTTAATTTTATTATTTAAAAATTAATAAGACTATCTAAATATTTATTAAATGAATACTATTTTAAATATTAAATCAAATTAATACATATAAATTATATTTTCACTATGTCATCTAGCAATCAAATTTTGTGTTATAAATAGAATATCAATATCACTCACTAAATATTAATTTAGCATTAACAGTTGAAGCTTAATGGACTATTATGATTTAAATTATTTTATAACCCTAATTAAATATATATAATCATTTATTAATTGAAAACTAAAAAATTTAATATTGTAATTAGCAGAGTTCAAAATGACTAATCAACTATATTTATTTTTAAATTTTATTATCATACCTATTCCTAAAAATATTTTCAAGGTCCAAATAAGTTTAATAAAAAGTAAGTAAGTAGACATATAGTTTATAATCCTCTATTATATACAGTTGTTTATAAAATATTAGATAAAATGCCACTTTTATAGACATATTTGACAGTTATAATATATTACAGCTAATATTATAATGAATTTTAATAAATGCTTTTGATAATAAATATAGTAACATTTTGCTCTCAAGTATTTAACGCCATCTATTTAGTTATAAATAATTTTAAAAATTAAACTATAATTATTCATCCTACAATAGATGTAATAAATTAGATATCTTTTCTTTTATTTTTTACGTTAGGAAAGCTATTTTTTTCTCTTTCAAAAAACAGTAATGAGTTAAATTTTAATACAAGTATATTTTTGATATTTTTACAAACTACTATTATTTTAAGATATAATATACCAACTAGAGGTGGTGCGACAATATATTAAATATTAATTGTTTCATCATCATTCTGGTCCTTATTTTATAATTCCAAAATGTTTCATTTCTAATGTGACATTCTTGCCATGTAAATAACTTAAGGCTTGTGTTTTTATTTTATCAATTTACCCAACATAAAAAATTCTGATACTAGTTTACATCGTGAGTGTCATGATGGCTATTACTGCAAATTAACCAGCATCTATTATTTGTGTTGCTATGAAATTTAAGATTATTACTACAACGGCTGAGAGTATATGATTGCATATTTTAGATAAAAATAATAATGGTCAACTGTGTAGTCGTTTATATATTATATATCATTTAAAATGGATGATAATCTTTTAGAAATTTAATATCTCACAATAATTTAGACGCAATTTTTTTGTTTATCTGCAATCAAAAATATTTTATATTTAATAAATAGATTTTGTATTAAAAAATTTTATTTTTAAAAATGTCTTGTATTGTTTTAATTATTTATATACCAGTTTATTTTGTATGCATAATATAATAAATGAGAAAATAAAAATTCAGAATAATTGTTCAGAGTTAACAAATTTAAAAAAAGTATAATATATTAATATAAAACCCGGCCGAAGGCCTGGCAAAAGCGGGCCGAAGACCCGCGAATTGGGTATCATGGGGGGGGGGCGAAACCCCCCATAATTTTTTTTAGTTGAGCCCCCTAAGATTGTAAAGGCTAGCGACGCCCCTGACCTTGTCTAAACTTAATTTTAGTGCGCTAAATTTTTCTACCTGACGAACAAAACCTTTTGAACCCGCTTAAATGAAATTATAAATTGGCATTCTTCACGCTTAAATAATAAGCGCTAGCGATGAATAAAAAATATACCCTTTTATTTTATTTATTATGGATCCGCGTTATAGCCCTCTTCCACCAAAAGGGTCTGTCTATTGTACAAAATAAAAGCTTTTCACATAATTTATGAGTGTGACAAATAAATTTTCGAATTTTTATTGGTAGGGGGGGGGGAGTATCCTGGAGCCATTTATTTTTGAATTTGTGTATATATTATTTAACCTTTATATTTCAATAAAATTACTTGTATACGAATTTCGAGACATAGATCAGTTTAAAATTATATTAATTTTAGAACATGAATCTATTAAATATTTAGCTAGCGTTATATAAATCAGAGACCTGCAGAAATACCATTTGCACAGCCCAGCTCGGATTTTATATTTTCAGGCCCATTTTGAATTTTTTTAAAGATAATTTTCAGGCCCGGTCCGGATTTTTTAAAATATATTATTTATTTTTAATTTTTATAGCTAATAATAACGATTTAAAATATTTTATTGTAGAATATAGGGCCCGGTTCGATTATATTTAAAAAAGTTAAAATACTGCCCGGCCCGTGTACCAGGGAGGGACGGGCCTGCAGGTCTCTGATATAAATGATGAATGATAGGAAACTAAATTTAGATAGATTGTTTTTTTTGTTGTAAATGAGTAATTTATTTATAATATTATTCATTCATTTTTTTAATGATAGAATATACAGAGGCCAAGTCCCCATATTTAAGATAGTTTGGACATTAATAAATTAATTGTACCAAAAATAAAATAAGGACGCTCAAAAAGCTATTCCTAAGGGGACATTTGCAGCTATAGTAGTTACCGCTATATCCTATCTCGCCATGATATGGACTATAGGTGCTTGTGGAATAAGAGCCGCTACTGGTAACATTAACGATATCCAAAATTCAGGCTCATCATTCAATGTTACTACGGCATATATACCTTTTTACGAGCGAGGAAGCAAGTTGAGAAGTTGCGACGCCTACACTAATTGTACCTATGGATTGTTATACAATTATCACGTAAAAAGAATTTTCGTTATTTCGAATTTTATTTTTGTTATGATAAAATATTTGTTATAAAATATTTTTATTTGAGTGAAAGGAGTTTATCAGTCTTTTTTTTAAATTATTTTACATCATTTTAATCTTAATAGATTTACACCTCCCCTTGTTGATTTTCTTGTGATCCGAGGGCCGTAAAATTATCGGGAGAGTGGCACTGATGGAGCTTACATTTTTTAAAATGAGCATAAATTATGTTATATTTTATGCTTAAAAAAAACTCATTTTAAGTTACTCAAAACATTTTTCAAAAAATATAGGGAGACTGGCTCCCAAATGTCCCCCGTAGTTACGGTCCTGGTTATGCTACTGAGATGTTAATTAAAATAGACTCCATTCTATTGCTATATCACGGATATTAAATTTTCGCTGATAACATTTTATATGATTGTTCTTTAAATTCAACTGGGAGAAATTAAAAGTGCCATTTTTAATTCAACATTAATTGTTATAATTATAAATATTGATAATAAAAGAATATTTTTATTAATTTTTATACATTAAGTTTGTTGAATTAGCTAGCGGATCCGGTCCTATAATATCGGCCGGCATATTTTCCGCTACCCTTTCATCCGCTATGGCTTGTTTAGTAGGAGCTTCCAAAGTATTTCAAGTAAAAAAAAACTCATTTAATTTTCCAAACATTATGATAAACAATAAGCATTATTTTACTATTACTATACCATATAGTATATACAAACCATATTTAAAAGTGACAATTTTTCCAATATTTGCTTTAAGGATTTTCTATTTTTTTGCCTTTTAGACCCCTGAGGTAGCGATATATATAGTATATTTCATATTATGTTTAGGAATTTATTAAGGATGTACATATATTTTTATCGGATCGGGTTTTTTTTGTAATATGAGTTATCGGCCAATATTATAAAATTTTCCGATCCTATAAAATAACGTCTTAATTAATTTTTAAAATTTTTTTAAATAATATTTAAGAAATTATATTTGTTTATAAATGCAACATTCTAATATAATTTGAAGTGATAATTTTTTTGAAAACTAACTAAATATTTGAAAATTTGTTAAAAAATTATAAAATATATAATTTATTATTATATTTTTATAAGGAAGCTTATGACTTTAAAACTTAATAATTAATTTATAAAAAATTCTAACAGTTTAAATTAACCATAGACCAGATGGGATTCTCTACTTTCTACACAATAGAAAGACTATTGTAATAATTAATATTACGATTTTACTATATAAATAACTGATCAATATTTATATACTTTTACAATGATGAGTATAACTGAATAATTATAAAATGATAAGTAAATTAAAATTTGATTGTAATATTATAAATGACTTATGTTATGATTTATATAGGGTTATCAGATCTTCCTCAGTAGAAAAGAGAACATACATTTTTTGAATGTATTTTAAATAAGGCATTAAAATGAAGTTAAAAAATTTAATTGAATTTTAAGCAGTCATTTATTTTTATTGCATTTATTAATGAATAATTAGAATTGAATTAAACATAACTTATAAATCATATTTTTTTTATTCCATATTTTACACCTGCAGATATTTTTCATAATATATTTGGCCTTTTCCCTAAAAATTTATCGAAATCTTTGCAAAAAGATTTAAAATTGTATTGCCTCAGCAGGGTCCTATAAGTAGAGAATGTAAGAGTGCAGGAGATGTAAGGAATATCGAAGGTTTAAGAAAGTGTTTTAGGTGTGGTAGGAAGGATTATTTAATTAAGGACTGTCCGGGAAGTCATGAGAGAGGTGGAATATGATTACAGAGGGTTAAGGCAGAATAATTTAGTAAATCATGATTTAGGGTTAAATAAATATATAGATAATAGAAATTATATTAGCAATATTTTGGATATATATATATTGATGATTTATAATAGTTATTTTAAAATTAGCAGTGTTTACAAAATAATTTTGATTAAATTTTTGTATTTTATTGATTTTTATAATAGATATAATTTTAATTAGAATATATTTTTATTGATTGACTGCCTAACTGACAATTCTTCAATTCAATCACAACACCTTCCCCCTTTACTAATCCTACAATATACCATTAGCGGACGATGTCATCACTGATCCATCAATCATACAATCGAAATCATAACTATTACCCCTTCATACTAGCCCATTTTGTTCCATAACAGTCATCCCAAACATTCAATCCCCCCAATCCATCATAGCATCATTCTTCATACCCATATCATTTGATCCAAATCAATCCTATAATTATTCTCCGTATCCATTCATCCACTTGACCATTGCCCATCTAGACACCATTACCAATCCACCATATAATTATTCTCCGTATCCATTCATAATTCCTTTTATAGATTCCACGGATAATCTATTCCTCTCATTTGTCCCATGGCAAATAAAGAAAAAATTCTTTTAACGTCAACATTATGAGTTGATATAGCAAAAATGAAGCTTGCTATAATTCGCAGTTCACCATGTTGTTCAAGGATTAGAATATTATAAAAATATATTTTTTGGTGAAGAGGAAGTTTTGAATATTCAACACATCTAATTTTATTTGTAATAAACAATTTAAGGTTGGAAAATTGGTCGAACAACTTTTACTCATTTTAAAGAAACATTTTAAAAAGAAACATTTTAATTTCCATTGAAAACATTCCACTTCTTCTAGAGGTTCTGACTAAAGATCAAAATATCGTATTCAACTTCTTATACATTAAATAAATGATCTTTCACTGCATCTACTTGTATTTTTTGTCCATTTTTTATATTTATTTCTAATATTGTTTTTATTTATGGAAAAAAAATTCCATTTTTTCAACAAATATTTTAATTGGTTAACATTTCAATAAAATTATTTTCTTTCTCAACGGATTTTTTTTTTATCAAACGCATATATCAAGGAATGAGTAGATCACAGATATGTATCAGTTAAATCTTTTTCATAAAAATTTATGATAACTGGGGGATTGTTAATTGAAAGAAAGTACGATTTTAATGCTTCATACATTTCAATAAATCGTTGGACTCAAGGAAATAGAGAAAGCTATCTTGTTTGTTTATAATTAAACTCAACGAATTCATGATGAGGAGGATACATAAAAGAATCTTTAAAACGAAAAATAATAACATGATGAAAAAATATAGACAATAGTGTTGTTATATGGCTCGATTTTTTAAAACGGCTAGCCCAATATTTTCGCCAACAATGTCACTAAGTCTTGAGATTTCGTTAATAGATGTCCAAACCTTTCTACCATCTATGAGCAAAATCTATAGGCTTGGGTATATTTTTGAAAAAATATTGGGCTAGCCCTTTTCAAAAATCAAGCCGTTTAACAACAACACTCGGAAGTTACTATGATGCAATTGTAAAAATACTTTTCCGGTAATATGTAAAAATTAAAAAAAATTTATTTGTAAAAGAAGACAAATTAAAATAAAATAAAATAAAAATAAATACCGGTCATTTAAACATCCTTCTGGTGACCCTAGATTTATGGTATAATAATAGATGGTGGTATACTAAAAGTAGAGGATTGCATTGAAAAATTAAAATATATTAAGTATGTTTATAACAATCAGAATAGCGATATCGGATCGGATCGACCTTCAAAAAGTGATAACGGGTCACCGCTAGTATTTATTATTTAACCCTAATTTAGAATTATTTTTTTTTATTAAGGCTTTGTGCAGAGATAAATTGTTTCCCTGGATTCATGTTTTCGCATACGGCTCGAAAAGAAATGACGATCCCATCAGGGCTTATTTTTTGGCTTTCGTCATTGCGATAATGTTTGTCTTATTAGGTTGAAATTTAATTATTTAAATTAAAAAAATTAAAAATCTAGCGGAATTTTTTTAAAAAACATTTTCATTTGACGTAACGGTGTCCTTTAACACGTTAAGATTTTTACAATTATTTATTTAGTAATACGCGAGCGCTATATTTTTATTTTTTTAGGCGATCTCAATATCATCGCCCCTATTATATCGAATTTTTTCCTTATGGCTTACGCTCTAATCAACTATTCCTGTTTTCATGCCTCCTTATCCAAATCAGTTGGTAAATATATATTTTTTTTATGTTAAACACCACACCTAAGTTTTGAAAAATAAATTGAGTTGTTTGAATATTCAAAATTTTAAATATTATATAATGTGGAAGTTTAATAAATTCTCTCCTTTATATTCAGTGGCGTTGTAGGGAGGGAGAAAACCTGCTCAAAACTTTATAATTTGAGAACCTCTAAAATGATGTTAATTTGATGCTTAAAATCTCAGAATTTTTTTGACTTTATAACGTGTCCAAACTATTATCAGCAATATTATTCAACTTAAAATTATCTTATTGATTAAACAAACAAGTTATTCCCCCCCCCCACCTCCCCGCAAATTCTTAATTTAGGAGTATTTTATAATTCAAATGAATACAAATAATTTTATAACAAAATATAGGCTTCAGACCTGGTTTTAAATATTATAATAAATGGATCAGCCTAATAGGTGGTTTTCTATGTCTCGCGGCTATGTTCCTTATAAAATGGTGGGCGGCACTTGTTACTTTAATCGCCGTGCTCTTTCTGTATTTTTATATTCGTTACAAGAAACCGAGTAAAACAATATTTTTTGTTTGAAATTTTTTTAATAGGGTTCTTTATTATAGTAATAAGTATTTTGTACTCTGGAATAATCCGCCAGTCAATATTATTTTATTAAGAAAAAGGAAAGGCAGACAAAGAACCTTAAAGAATTTATTGAAAATATTTATATCAAAAGTTTATATGATAAGATTTTTTCATAAAATGAAATTGATATAAAATAAGATGTGAATTGGGGATCATCCACTCAGGCTCACATTTACAAGGACGCTCTGACCGCCGTCCTACGCCTGAATGAAACAGAAGAACACGTCAAAAATTTTAGGTAAAATATTCTTATAAATTTTATAAATACCAAAGCACATTTTCCCCTTAAATTCTGCGGCGAAGGTACGCTATTAGTGATCTGAATTGGTCCTACTTTTTCAAGCCCGGCCCGAAAATTTTTTTAAAAAATTTATTCGGCTCCATCCCGAACGATTTTTTTTTATTTATCCCGAAAAGCCCCGAAATAAAAATAATTATTAGTCCTTTCGGCTCGGATTTATTTAATTATAGATAATTTAGTCGGGATTTGCATTTCTATATATGCTATTACCTTAAAAAAGATGGGGGGGGGGGTGCTAAAATTGGGGAAAAATTTGGTTTTATTGCTTTGTTATAATAATTTATAACCTGTTTCATCACTATAACACAATTTTCATTTTTAAAAAAATTAATCCCTAGCTTATTAATTGGGCTTAGTGGGTCTATTTGCCATATTTAATTACTTAAAAAACTCATGTTTATTTTTGAATTGAAATATTAATGTATTCATAATATACTATTTTAACCTGCGGAGTGTAGGTACTCATTATGTAAAGCTGACCTCCATCATCATAGAGATCCACATTAGACGAGAGGATTAATATATTTTTTTTGAAAATCTGGTTTTCTTTAAATGAGGTTTCCCCATTGTCAATTTTTTTATTATCGTTTTAGTTATTATTATTATACTTGATTTAAAAAATAGTGAACACATTTTTATTATAATTGAAGACCTCAGATTTTGGCCTTTACTGGAGATCCTAGAACTCGTCCATCACTAATCGATTTTGCAAATCTTTTTACTAAAAATATCAGCTTACTTATCTGTGGTCAAGTTATTATAGAAGTAATATTAATTTTTTAGTAGTTATTTTCATTTTTATAAAAAAAAAATTTGAACGTTTGTTTTTATACTTAACGGCATTTTTTTTAAGACAGAATATTACATTAGAAATATTTATATTTAAAATTATTGAATTTTATTAATTGAATTTTACCTTTTTTTTCATATTAAAAAAAACAAATATTTAAATTTAATAGTCCTAGAAATTTTAATTAAAATTATAACTTATTGGCCACTAATAAATAGCTAAAAAAAAACTATAAAAAGATGTATTTATTATTAGTAAAATAAAAAATTTTAAAATTTTAAACTATTTAATTATATATTTTTTTAGCAATCCCCTGATGATGATATGATACTCGTTGATGTTAAATCAGTATACAATGCATTTGCTCACAAAAATATTAAAGCTCTATACAACACATCCATAGCACCCAATTTTCGACAAGGAGCTCGTTCATTGATGGAAGTTTTTATTTTTAACTGTTTTATTTAGTCATATTTTTAAAATATTTAAAAGATAGTATGGCGTAAATTATTATAAGAGGAATTTCTGTTCTAACTCTACTCTTGGTCGTATATAAGCTAAGGTCAAATTTTTATCCTTTAGGGTCTCTTCCAATCTTTTACATTTTTAAATAAATCTCAATAATAAATTTTAAATGTTTTTACTTATTGTATACTATTGTTAACCAAATGCCATGCTTTTAAATCCCTGTCCTGTTAGATTGAATAAACAACAATTGATAGGGTGTTATATTTATAAAAATAAACAATTAATTTACTTGGATTAACATTTTACCTAGTGTTGTTAAACCGCTCGATTTGAGCCGATTTTTAAAAACGGCTAACTCAATATTTTATCCAAAAAATTATTATGCAAGCTTGAAAATTTTGATATACAAAGGTTTGGAAATCTATTAGCGAAATTTCGAGACTTAGGCAATATGGACCTGGCTAAAATATTGAGCTAGCCGTTTTACAACACTAATTTTATCAGAATAATATTATAAAGAGTTTAAAATGGTTACTGATTACTACAGAAACTTATTAATGAATGCATTATATATACTTGTAAATTGAATACACATTTATAATTTGATTGAATAAGTATTTCATATTGTGTTTTGATGAATTATTTTTTTTTAAATTGAATTGGATTTGAAAAATGCTTATATTATCTTTAAAACAAAATTACATAAAACAATTTCAACTTGTAATTAGATATCTGGTTTGGGAAGGCTGAGACCAAATATAGTTATTTTTGGTTACAAAAAGAGATGGCTTCATTGTGATCTAGATGAAGTTGAACAATATTTTAACGCCATCCAGTAAAAATTAAATAATTATTTTTTTTAATTTAGAATGGGGTATTTATTATTTATTATAAATCAATTACTGCAATATTCACTGGGAGACTACAAAATAAAGTAAGGAGGCGGTCCGATTTATCCCTTCCCAACTCTAGTCTTTGATATAAACTTGGGTGTAGTGTTGTTAAACGGTTCAATTTGAACTGATTTTTAAAAACGATGGCTCAAAGATTTAAACATCTATTTACGATCTTGAAGTTTAGGCATTATTTTTCTGGTTAAAATATTGAGTTAGGCGTTTTTAAAAATTGGTTCAAATCGAGCCGTTTAACAACCCTTCTTGGGTGAATTTCATCTATTGCGGGGGAATTATGAATTATTTTTCAGATTTCGCTTTCTTTTAAATATATATTACTTAATATTTTAGGGATATATTATGATTTTTTTTGTGTAAAACTTTTTCTATTGTGTTATAATTAATGTAATATTTTAAAATATAATGTCAGTTAACTTAGAAGGGGAAAGGCAGGATTCTGACTCGAAATTCTTAGTACAATTAATGGGGGTTATTTTGATTTTATTTAAAATTTTGATGTTTTGCGCCCAGTAGGAATGAGCTTCCAATTTCTTAGTTTAAAAATAATTTTTTTATTGAATTAAAATTTTAAAAATGAAATTTTTCCCTTATTTCTATTTTTATTTTCCTTTCATCATATTATTTATGCCAATAATAACCCCCCCCCCTTCAAAAAAATTTTTTTAATACGGAGAGGGTCGATATGTTTTAAGCGCGTTTTATAATGTTACTGCATCATTAAGATAAAGGAGACACCTTTAAATGTTTGACTCAGTTGCCTGGAAGGGGTCTCAGAGTCCTAAAACATAGTTATACAATTGGGTTACATCTGCTGGACTAGGAAAGTTTATAAAATTAAAATAGATGTGGCAAAATAAGTTGGGATAAGTTTTTGTATAAAACTAATAATTATTCACCGAAAAAACACATATGGTGAAATTCCATGACAAATCAAGAAAAAAAAACACGATTTTCAATCCGACCCCTTCAGATTTTTCTAAATCTTTTTACAGTTTGTATATATTATAACTAAGAAAATAATAAATTTTAGCCAGCTCCAAATAGCGGCTGAGATATGGGCTTTAAATGTCGAAAAAATGGGGCATTTTCGTATTTTAATATATCTTTGGATATAATTAAGTTAAAAGTTTCATTTAAATTTCTTTATATAGCCATAGTAGGCCTTTAATATAACATAATGTTAAATATTGTTAAAAAGTTTTAGATCATAAAATTAAATCAGCATTTATTTTCCTCTCAAATTTTTATTATATATATCTATAATTAATTAATTAATATGCAAAATTTCAAGTTGGGCCGAGCTCATGCTTAGAAGATATGACATTTTAATCATTAGTCTATTGCAAATATTCTTTATAAATATTTTATATTAGCCAATAATTGTAATATAAGTCAAAAGCTATCAAATCATAGGCGTATCCAGTAGGGGGGGGGGGGTCACTATTAAGCAAATTTTATTGGAGGTCTTTATGTCCATATAATATAGGCCATCAAGGGCCTATATTATTATATTTTTTAGAAAAATTTTGGGTTTTTAACTTATTTTTTTTAAAAAAAAATTTTCTATAAATTTTGAATTATAGTCGTTCTTTTAAAAAGGTATTAACGTTTGCTAATTTTTTTCTTCAAATTCTTCTTTATAGTGATATATTGTAGACATTTTAGGGGAAGAGGGGGGTGGGGGGGCATGTATGGGAATTTTTTTATTAGATTAAAATGCTATTTACGAGAACAGGCGTATTTGCGAAGTTAAGCGCCTGTATATTGGGTGGGGGGAGGGGCTTTGGCTAATAATTTATTTGATGAATTGAATTTCTCTCCACATAAAAATAACACAAAATACAAATCAATTTTTGATTATTAATTTATTAAAAACATAATTTAATTTTATAAAAAATTTAATTTTTATTTATTATAAATTGAATATAAAATTTTGTAATCAGGAAATGAGTTTGGCCTTTGGAACAACATATTCTCATCATTCCGTATGCAAATTAATTCCAGTGATATCAATATGTCTTTAAAATTAGAATATAATCCTTTAAGATTGCATAAGATAAGTTCTTCAATTGGCACTTCTCTGCTTTAATATTTATTAATATAAAATGGTTTTTATAACATTCCCAGTCTTTATAATATTTGAATTGGATAAAACACTCTTTTCCTTGACCAATTTTAGGCTACCCATGACATGAATTTAGTCGTAAAAAATTCTTCTTGTTTTTAGGGTTCAAGAATTTGGTAAAATCGTCAATATCATAATTTTTTTATTTCAATAATGTGTTGTTTCACATTTATTTTGCAAATGCTTAATGATTTCACATTTATTTAATATTACAATTATCTTCTGAAAAAATATTAAAATATCTTTCTTAATTTTTTCCCGGATTTTCAATTATTTTAATAGGAAATTTTTTTTTCGCTTAAACTTAAACTTTATTCATAATTGATGCCTGTTAAGTTAATGAATAATTATGGTTGATTATTTAAAGAAGTACATTACTTCGACTTTCAAAACATATGTTTATCCAAATGAAATGGATTGTAATCTACTGTTTAAAATATTACGAATTTTGGGAAAGAAATAAATATGTTATATAAATTTTGGGTTATATTAGAATTCATGATTCATTATATATATTAGAAATTTTTACAATTGATTAATAATTAAAATGCCATTCTCCCAAACCTGTCCTCTGCCCAACTTTAGACTTTGCATATTTATTAATTGATTATATGGATATACATAAAAAAATTTGAGAGAAAAAATGCCGATTTTATTGTATGATCATACTCAATTTTCTATTTCCGGTTTTTGACATTTAAATTTTTTAAACAATATATAACTTTAGAAGCCTACCATTAGGCTATATAAAGAAATTTAAATGATAATTCTAGCTCAATTATGTTCGAAGATATCCAAAATTAAAAGGGAGTGCATTATGCCCAAAAATGCTTTTTTATGACCTTTAAAAGTGCTAGTATCTCAGCCGCTGTTTGGAGGCTAATATTTTTTTTTTTTCTTAGCTATATGCAAACTCTTGTAAAAATTGAAAAATCTGATACACATTATTTGCCCCCCCCCCCCGCCACATTTTATAAAATAATGAATATGTACTCTTAGAAGTAAAATATATCTATTTTTACAAATATTTTATAAAGCGACGCTTTTGATATGAAGTTAGGCGTAGGTATCTTGAAAGTAAAAGAAGGATTAGATTTTTCATCTTTGCTCTTCGATTCCAAGAGCAAAGCTTCTCATCTTTCACCTATTCTCAGGAGGAGATATACTCACGGCGGACATGAAACGAAATCGAGAAATAAAGACGAAGATGATTATTACGACAACGAAAATTATGTACCGAATATTAGCAAAACAATTACTAACGACACTTATATCAATAATATTAATTTAAATAATATAAGGCAACCTTTGCGCATTACAAACGAAAATAATAACAACGGTGTTTTACATGGCAGAGAGTCAAGGAAAAAAAAAATTAAAAAATGGAGAAGGTGCTTTTGTTTGTTAATTATTATTTATAAAATATTTTTTTTGAATAATTATATATTTGTAATATTCGTGATATTTATATTTTATTTTGCAAAAAAAACCATAGAGGTTATCCGAATAATAAGACATTGTCTAATGGCCAACCCTTGAAATATTCTTCCGATAACCTTTCTAACGATTCTCACGGGTCCTCGAGTAAGTATTCTTCCGCTATAAAGGCCAAATTATCTTACATTCAAAACATGTTCTCATATTCTCAGAACAAATTAGCGGTTTTTACAAAACGCAGAGCGGATGGCAACTTTAAAACTTCAACTCACCTATTAAACGCGGACGGCATGCCTATAGAATCCTCAAAAGAAATAGACAAAACCGAAATTTTCCTACCATCTACAACAATCGTCATTCAACGTGATCTAAACCTTTCGACCGGTCTAGGCGATGAGAATTCTCCCTCTCCTAGTAATATTATATCTCGAGTCGACAATATTTGCAAGAAAAACGATTCATGGCAGAACAATTCAAATATTTCCAGAAAAGCCTCTCTTCAGAGCTTTAAAGGGATACTTAAAAGTGCCGTAGATTCATTTGAGAGCAAACTCAACAACATCTCTCATTCTTTTTCTTCTTTGGCAATGAGAGATATCAATTTAAATGATAATTCGGGAAACAAAGAGGGTGTACAGAACACCGCTTATAAGTCACAACCTCAGCTTAATAACAGCGGTAGTAATAATGCGTATGCATTCGATCGATTGAGTCAAATTAGTGACAAACTCAAAACAGAGGCAAGTAATATTGCTGACGATTCTAAAAACCCATCTGCCACTACTCTTAGCTCACGGGATAGTCAATTTGAAATCAAAATAAGTGAATGATTGTTTTGTTTTTCAAACTATTAAATAGATTTTCTATGGTTATTATTTTGATTAAAATCGTAATAAAAAGATATATATAATTTTATTAGTGCTGTAAACGTTACTTCAAAAACGAAACGCAAAAAGAAACGGGTTACTTGTTACTTCAAAAAGAGAAACGCGTTACCGTTCTCGTTACCTTGTGAGAAAAGGAACGCGCGTTACTATCAATTCAGAAAGTAAAGCGTTACTCGTTACTTGAAAAATTAAATACTTTATGCAAAAATTTTCTATATATAATATAAATAAAATTATACAAAAATAATATATTATAGATAAAATTGTAATTATTTTTTTTTATTTGCAACAAATTGATTTTCAAATTTTTGATCAAATAAACGAGAATGCTCAGCACATCTTTAGCCGTGCTAAACACACGTTCAACTGGCGCAAAGATGGGAGGGTTGTATTATATTTAAATAAAAAATTTAATTAGGGGAATTTATGCTAAAAATTAAAGATTATCTAAAGAATCTGTCATTTAGATTCTCATCAAAATTATTTTTTTACCTTTATCAGAAAATAATCTGGTATGTGTGTTGTTTTTTTAAAGGAATCAAAGTCTGCTTTTTCTTTGTCAAGATATTTTATTATTGGAAATAAGTTCAAGCTAGCATCGTTGGCCTATAATTTTATCCAGGGCTAATCTAATTATAGTAGCGGGTGATTTGAAATTATTTAAAGCATTTTTTTTAAAGTTTTAATATTATAATAATTATCATGGGAGTGAGATATCCCAAATATTCTAAAATCGAAAGAGCCATACCAAAAGGTTCCATATCATATAAAATCATATATATATATATATACATATCATCTTTTAAATAACACTAACATATATATATGAACGAATTTATGAACGACTTGTCATTATCTGAAAATTTTTACAATTGGGATTTATCACAAGATTCGTCAAATTGGTTATTCTCCTTATTAAGACTATTGATTTCACGGAATTATAAGAGTCATGTTATAACCGGTTTAATCACATATCTTTCCATTTTTTCCTTAAAAATGGCTGCACAGTTTCGAGACTGCCCACTTTATTCTACAATTGAGGAAATACTTGAGTTGGGACTCAATTTTGAATTGTAGACTTTGTACCTAAATTTTTTTTATTGGTGTTAAAAATATTTTTTATTAGGGCTAGGGCAGGTTAAATCATAATAATATTATTTATAAAATAAATTATAATATTAGAGAAAAAGAGTATGATCTAACATATCTTGATTACTTCAATATTAATTAGATTAATTGACTGAAAATTTAACAAAAATTTAAATGAATGGATTTGGTGGTTTATAGGACTTAAAAACTCGGCTTAAATTATTCATAAAATTTAAAAATTAAATAAAATAATTTTATAATACATTAAAATCTGTTTTTTCCATATTTTTTTTTTAAAAAATTTAAAGTAACAAGTAACGTTTTGCGTTACTGTTACTCAAAAAAAAGAAACGCGTTACGGTTACCTCTTAAAGGAGGTAATGAATGACGACGCCGTTATGACGTTACTTTACAGCACTAAATTTTATACAAAATATAAATTATTACAAGTTAACAATCAATACTCGAAGCCACCCAAAACCAAAAGAAGCCATTTTAACTCCTTACTCCCTAAAGCATCCAAATTGTTTTTACTTAATCGTAAAAAAGGACTTAAAGTTTCCGATGATCATATTCAAACAGATGACTTTACCTTGCCCGCTAAAATAAATTCTTCCGATTCCTATAGTAAAAAGCGATCAACTTTAAAGGACAAAACAGGTAGTGATGGTCACAAGTCAAAAATTTCTGCCAGTAAAAGTAAGAAAACTAATCAGAGAATTAGGCGAAAAACATTATCCCACTTTGAAGGTATTTTTGAGGATTCATCATCCGAGTCATCAGAGGACAGTCCTGAGTTCGAAGATTATTATTTCTTGAAGAAGTGGAAAGGAGAAGGGGTTAACGATAGGGAAAATAACTACACCACACCTCTATCTAATGAGGAATTCGAGGACTACCGTTACATAAAAAAATGGATGGGGGAAGATAATGATAACAAGGGTGCTAAGTTTGACGAAAATGTTAGTGAAAAAGGAATAAACAGAGTCGGTGTTGAACAAGAGACAAGTAACCTTTCGGATAGGTCTCTACCTTATGCATCCTTGTGTGCCAAACAAAAAGATAAATTCATTAAAGGCGGTTTGACAGAGGTTAAGTCACTAGATATAGATCACAATGGAAATATGATAAAAAGTTGTCTAGATATTCATAAAGACAGTGAGTCTATCGACTCTCGTTTTCCTCTCAAGAGATCCTTATCGGTTCATGGACGTTCATTCTCTCGTAAACAAAATATACCAATAATCAATATTGAAAAAATGCCATCAAATTTGAACAAACAAAACGTTCAGGATAATAATTTATCAGTTCGACATACTGCTACAAATGATAAACAAAAAAATGATAACGAATCCAGAAGGTTCAAAGCTCTGATCAGTCGATTCCGCCATAAATATACAAGAGGCACGATAGATGTCTGGTGGCTCTTCGATGATGGAGGTATATTATATTTTATTAAATTAACCTATTTCTTGCCGAGATATGCACATCCAACTGAGCTCCATTCGTGGTGCCATGATTTTAATCCTACCTCATTCTATCTACTTTTTTAAATTTTACCTAATTTTTGCATAATGAATGCCATAGTAGTAAAGTTGGGTGAAGGCGAAATGTCGGCTAATTTGGCTCAATCTACAGGTGCGTGACGGAGAAAATCCGTTAACATTAAAACTTTTTAATTTATATTAGATTATTTCTAATTTGAGCTACTATATTTTTAAGAAAAACACCAAGGTGAATGTGATAGTTTTCTGTTAAACCGAAAAATAGTGGCTTAAACGCTAAGATAGTAATTCCTAACTATACATAATATGCATTAATGTATTATACAGAAAGTTACTATGAATCTTTAATTTTATTCTTACCTTAATAAAATTCATTTAGGATTGACCGTCCTTTTACCCTTTATTTTATCGCAACGAAAACTTTGGATCAATTGCGAAATGAGAGTTTTCGCCATAACGAAAGAAAAAAGACAAATAGACCTCGTACATCAACAGTATAACAAATTTAGATTTTAAAAATAATAATTAAAATTTCATCTTAGATTTGGCGCTATGTTACAGAAATTTAGAATCGATTACTCGCACGTTATAATTCTCCCTGATATTCACAAAATACCTTATCCTACTAGGTTTAAAATAAAAACAAACCATTTTTTTTATTAAATAAATAATTTTAGCACCGCCAGATTCGAAAAAATAATAGAAAAATTTAGAATTAAAGATGAAACTGACCCTAATTACAAGCTGGGAATGATCACGGATAACGATTATTTGGCAAATAAACACAAATCATTGCGCCATATACGCTTATACGAAATGTTAACCCAACACTCCTTCAACGCTAATTTAATTTTCATGTAAAAATATTTTTATTTTATTAAAAATTCAATTTAACTATCCATAATCTCACAATTTATATCTTTAATTTATCAAGGACATTACCTATACCCAGGAAAGGTTCTTGCCCATCTGCGCTTTATATGGCCTGGTTGGAGATGATCACTTGCGATTTAAATCCGCCAATTTTTCTACTCAGGGGCAATCAGCAAAGTGTCTTAACCTTTTACTCTTAAAATTCCGATCTATTAACAATATTCAGAGATATTAGTAAAAAAAATCGCTACAGTTCGGTCAAAAAATCCTATTCCCATAATGTTAAAAAAAAGGATTTTAAAATCCTCACTCTAACGTTAGATTTTTCTCATTCACACTGCTTATTTCATAAATGTCTTATTTATAAAATAAATTTTTGATTATGTATGCCTCAAATCAGGTATCTCAGCATAGGTTTTGCAATAGCAATTATGTTACTCTTCATCAACCCATGAGGTGAACAAAATTTTCGGTTCCCTTACGAGTTCACGGTAACAGTCTCAATCTTATTTTTAACCCAATGCCGTCGCAGTCACTGTTATAATAATGACTATTTTTAAATCGAAATTGTATAATATTTTTAATCCTAAAAAAATCAGAGCAATAATATTAAACAGAGAGTGGATATTTAAAAAATTAATTTGTGCGAATTTTAAATTATAATTATTTTTGGTAAGAAAAATGGAAATATGTTATAATTTAATTAGTCATTGATAATATTGCAAATTTTTAATGAATATAATTTTATTTATAAAATAATTGGCAATTACGAATATAACATCAGTATTTTTTTTTAAATAATAAAGTATTTGGATATATTATAAAATGAATGTGCAAACGTATTATCTATATATATACATATATACTAAATATTACATAGTTATATAAAGTTATATAATTATAAATAACAATTCGAATAAAAAAAATAGATTTCAGGAAGTTTAGTAAGCTGAAATCGCGGAGTCGTAGAATCTTGCATTATAAATCTGGATTTGTAGGCAATTTGGCAATATTAATTAAAAAAATATGAATAAAATCTGAAAAGATAAAAAATTTTTTTGAAATAGCCCAGCTGGAATTTTTTAAAAATAATTTAAAGAGCGGAGAGGTTGAGCTTTATTGTGAGCATATGGGTAACCAAACATTAAAATAAGTATGATTAAATAATTTGATTTTAAAAACGGTCGAAAATAATATTTTTTATCACAATCATTTTTTTATAAAAGGGAGCGTGATTTAATTTATTTGTTACATTTATAGCATTAATTAATATGATTATCTTTCTTTGGGAGTAGCTAACTAATGGAGAGAATCAACCAATTAAATTGCTATAAATTTAAAATGGAAGGGTCAGATTTTAAACGCGAATATTCGGACAATCTTATTTTCGCGTAGGCAAAGTAGTCGAATGATTTATCGCTAACTTGGGATTGGAGAATAGCCCAGACTCCCCAGAATAAATGAGGAGCCAGAATAAATTTATCGACTTGATTCATTAGTTCGTCGAGATTCGGGAATAAAGTATAATTCGCATCGATTTTGTGGTGAATTTTTTGCCATTCGTTTAGGTATAAGGCCAACCATTTGCGCCTGAAAGCCGAGTTAGGAAAGAGGCTATAATCCACTGTTTCTAATCCTTAAATAAAAAAAATATTATTTTGTAATTTTTCAAGAATAAAGCAAATCTAGAACTAAAAATAACGATAGATTTAAAATTTTATAATTTTCAAACATGAAAAGATGTTATTTTAAACAATTGAAGGATGCTTAATTAATTTAAATATCGATTTTGGTTATAAAATTTCGCTTATGAGAATATTTTAAATTCTTCGAAGAAAAGTTGTTTGTAGGATATAAAAAAAATGCTTGACTCTGTATAAATATTAATAATAATTATTTGAATTGAAATAATATGATTTTTACAAAAAGAAAATATATTATAATTATTTTTAACGATATCGGCATAATTGATTTGTTTATTCCTAAAATTTAAAAATAATATATATATTAAATTCTGATTTACTCCATTAATATTTTTACTTAAATATGTAATATTTGGGGAGTTTCATCGTTTCAAATTTTGCTCTTCTCAAGCTAATTTTTTCATATATTTAGAATATTGAGGGCTACAAAATGATATATAATTTGTTACGTTGAACAAAAAATATTTTGAGTAATTTGAGATTCGTTATAAAGAAGGAAAGGATCTCATTGAACTTTGATGGCCCATAACTCCAAATATATTCGAACTAAAGCTTGAAAATTTTGATTTATATAAAATATGCACTATAAAAATACCAAGTTTCATTCATTTTAAAAAGGGTCGTCCGAAAATCTCGTTATTTCAGTCGATATGTCATAGAATTATCCTTTTTCGTATCGGTTACATCAACATTAGAAATATAGGATCTCTACTTTATTCAACTTTCTAACAGGTCTTATATAAAATATAGTTTTTTAAAGAGAAATCAAAACTCGACTAAATTATTTTAAAATTATGACAAAACAGATGAGAAAATACATAGAAATTTGTAATTCTACCTACCGAGAAGGGTTTAACTCTATTAGAGGCTACTCTCCTTCAATAATAAATCTATCTACATGATATGGGTTGTCGTTAATAAAATAGCTTTTTGTCAAAATAAATAAAAGATAAATAAAATAGCCAAGCCACTCCGATTTTGGCAAAAAAAGAATCTATAATAATCAATTTAAATTTGATTTGTGTTACAAATTTTATTTTATTCCATTGTTAGAAAATAATGGGCTTTTGTTTTGTTCGTGTACCATTCTTTTCCAACCCCCCCCCCCCCCCTTCCTATTTTCATTTATATTATAGGCTTATTTTTAGACATAAAGAAATTTGAAATGCTTGTTCTCTTAAGATTGAAATAAAGATAGTATGGCAGACTAGTATACATTTTAAAATGGAGGAATCGGATGTCGAAAAACAGAAAGCCTAAAAATGATGAGTCGAATAAAAATCGTAGAGACCTGCTTTAATTTTTTTTTAACCCCAAACTAAAGAAAAAATTAAAAACCTGGCCAGGGTCGTAAAATGACCAAGATTTTTATTTTAATCTTTCTTTCTTTCGAATACAAACATCTTTTAGACTATCCTTTCAAAAAAATATATAATAATAATAAACAATCAAAGTTTAGCAAAACAGGATATATATTATAAAACCATTTTTTTTTCTATTAAAAAATTATTGGAACAAGATTCAAATCCTTTTTAAAAAATTGTTTTGATCATCTCTTTGATAAATATAAATTTATAATAAATTCAGCGATATAATAATTTAAAAAGATCGTAGATATTTTACCAGCGAATTCGCAAAAAAAATGTGCTATATCGAAAGCTTGGTAATTGAAATCGGCGTACTCAAAATCGATAAATGACATGTTACCTTTGTGATAGTCATAAATGATGTTGTCTAAGAGCAAATCGTTATGACAGAATACGATTGGGGAATTCATAGGCAAGAGAACCTTTTCTAAATAGTCTATTTCTTCCCAGGGATCAACGGGAAGTTGCGATAGTAATAGAGACCTTGGTTATGATGAATATTAATGATATAGAATATAGTATTTTATTTATTCATATAAATATGAAATATCTTATTTATTGATTGACACTTTCAACATCTAAAATATATTATTTATTACCTTTTATTTCCGCAATCTTTTATCGAGCTAACATAACTTTTACCGGAATTATTTTTATAATCAAATCGATTAACTATATTTTTTTCATCCAGAAGTGGCAGTATAAGTGAAGCCCATTTTCTAATCGTTGGAAAATAGCAAGCAATAGGATAATCGAGTAATTTTTCCCCAGTTTTATCGATTTTCTTTATATTATTTTGGAATTTGTCCACGATTAAAAAACAAAGCGAATTATCAACGCATTCCTTCTTTTCATCATTTCCGGCCAATATAGCTTGCGATTTTTCGTAGTTTCCTATATCTACGGGAACCAACTTCACCGTCGGCTTAGATGGTTGGTTAGGAAAGGCGAAATGCATTCGAACCAATTTACCGGCAATAATGGGATATATAATAGGGTCAGTTATAGTTTTGATCGAGATTGCGTGGCCCTTAGCGTAGCCATAGCATAAACCGTTCATAAAAGTACAATAAAGTTCGGAACCACAACCTATGCTCCACATAGCTACCATGTTTTCAATTTCCTTTTCCCTATCGATTATAACCTCAGTTTTGTGGCCGTATATGCGAATCAGAAGGATATCTTGATTAACTACACTATTTTGGCTAATATTTTCTGAGTATCGTTGAGTATGCTGATTTTCGAGGTTTGTAATGTGATTGTGCGATTGAGAGCCGTTATTGTTAGGATTTGATGCGGGAGTTAAATTGCAATTAGTGGGTATTGCCGAATGGGATAATGGCTGGAGAGAGGCGCTAATTATGGTGTTCGTTGTGCCTAATATTTTTCACAGGAAAAAAGCGTTTGGATAGTCAATAATTAAGAGAGAATATTAAGTAATAAGTAGGCCGTTAAACTGCATCTAATCCATCCTATCGAGTTTTCCTTTCCTATGCCTTATAGTCCTTTTTACATAAGAGGAGTTTCAAAATTTTGATCATATTTACATATTTATTCTGAGATTAGCATATTAAAAAAAAATTTTTTTTTCTCGTGGGGTTAGAAAAAGCAATGATTAAAAAGTGAGCTAGGAAGGAGTTTTCGAGAGGAGTTAAAATTAATTTTTTTAAAAAAAATGTTTCCTATTGAATTCTACCAAATTATTAGAAATTTTATTAACTGCAAACTCTACTTTAAAAAAAATATTAAACATCAATGTTAAAAGATCAAAATTATAACTATTCCAAAATATAAAAAACACCCCAAGGGTTAGGATTATTTCAATATTTTGCGTAATAATCATATCTAAACTTTATATAAAAAAAACAAATCGTTACGATTTAATTCTTATAAATTTATATGTAAAAAATGAATCGATATATAATTGTTTTTTAACAGGAGATATGAAGTCTTATTAAAGATCGGCAAAGCCTGGCTCGTCCGAAAGCCTGGCCTGCGGGAGAGAAAAAATTATAACGGTTTGGGAAATTTGTAAATAATTATTATTCGGGCAGTATAATTTATACATAAAAAGTCAGGCAGAGCCTAGGAGTGAGTTTGAATCATTTTATTAAACTTTTCCATTTGACTGATCGATGGTAATTCTCTTATTTCCTGTTCCTTTTGTAATTTAATATAGTTATTTATAATTATAAGTCATTATTGGCTTTCACCTTGGCAACATAAGTAATTGCTTGAATTTGGGACAGAGAAAAAAAAGAGATAAAATGTACTTATCTAAAATAAATTTTTCTTTTAAAAAGTATATTATATTTTAAATATTGAATGTATAATTATTGCTTTTAATTGATTAAATATCATCTAAAATAATGATTACATGAATAATTAATTTGAATAATATTTAACTAGCAATATTTAATCAAAAAAATGGAAATAGGAAATATGATAAATGAATGAATGTATATAGTAGAGATCTGCATCAGGCCTAATGCTCGAAATATTAAAAAAAAATTCATATCCAGAACCAAAATTATTTTCAAAAAGTAGGCTCACTTAAGACCAAAGTAAATTCGGACCGGATGGGGGGTGAGGCCTTGCATATAGTGTTGTTAAATAGTTGAGATCTTATGACTCGGAACTCGAGTCATAGAAAACGGCTCCGACTCAAGCCGATCAAGGAGCCGTATGAGCCGACTCGATTAATCGGTTCACTTAATCAGCTCGCTTAGTTGGCTCACTTAGTAGACTCGTTGGGTTGTCCCAGTTTTTTTAGTTTATTTATTTATAAGTAAATTATAATTTTTGATATTTATTTTTTTACATGCATTTTGTAAAACGACTCCATTCGAGTAAATTTTTATAAACGGCCAACTCACATGTATGGTAAATTGCTAAATTTTGGGTTACTGATTAATGTGAACAAAAATTATAAAAAGACATTATTTCAATTTATTTTAAGAATATTTAGGTCGTTAGATTCTATTTGGTGGAAATTTTGATAATAGGAACTTAATCGAAAATCGATTTTATAGAGGTTGGAACCCACTCTGATTCATATTACACCAGGTTTGATGGGTTACCCATAGATCGGTCTCTGGTCTTAAAATGCCCAACCAAATAATTTAAATTTCTGAACCGACCTTCCTTGCAATAACTTGTAAGAATTATATCTTTTTTGTTTTGACAAGGAAAAATTCCGAACTCAAAATAAATAATCTTAGATAACAGTAGGAATTCACTGCTAGAGTCTAATTTATTATAGAATTCTAGTACATATGATTTTGTTTATTAAGGAGCATTTAGTTAAAATATCTATTTTATAGCTGACTTGGATAAAACACTTTAAAAATTTCAAAATAAATTAAACAACACATTTTTTTACTAAATAAATGTACACATACAAAATATACAAATGAAATATGCAAAAATATTATTAAAATATTTTTCTTTGTGCCATCTCATAACTTGTTAATGTTATATTTCATGCAACAAGATTTTTAAAACAAGTATATAAAAGTTAGATATCATGTTTTTATTTATATTTTTTAACTAATAAAATAATAATAATACTTATTCTTCCTTTTTTTGTCATCTGACTAGCACCAGAATTAGATTTTTTATATTATTTTCTTTATTTGTTATAATAAAATATTTTTGATATAAATGATCAAAAAGGTATAATTAAAATGCCAAAAGGGATTTAAAAAGAGAATGTCTAAAAAAGTCATAATGAATGAAAAGGGATAAAAAAGAGGATGATTTTATTTTTTAATGGTAATCATACCTCTGCAGATCTGTTGATATATACAAAAATATATATAAAATCGCCTCAGGAGTTGGCTAAGTGAGTGGACTAATAAGCCGACTTATGTGGCTCATTTAGTCAATTTGTTTTTTCAACTTGAAACTAGGTTAGAATCACAGCTAAGCTTACTTGGCCTAGTTAACAATACTACTTGCAGATCACTAATATATTGTTATAAAATACACCAGTGAATATATTTTATGAATTTTTATAGATAATAATGGCGATTTAACATTCAGCCTGACCCAGGTATATTTAAAAAAAATAAAAATAAGACCTGGCCCTTGTACTGGGGCTAGGCCGTGATAATAATGTTGCCATATATTATTTTTTTATAAAAATAATAAGGAAATAATTATGCATAAATTACCCCAACATGGACTGATAGTCCAGACTCTGATATATTTTTTAAGATATGGTTTAACAATATCTTTTAACTTTTCACTATACGAGATATACTTTTTAAATAGTTTAAAAGAATTTCTTCTCTTTTTATAAAAATATCAAAGATTAAGGAAATACTTTATTTCCTTTATTGGATACATCAGCAAGAATTGCAAATGGATGACCATCTTTCAAATCTTCAAGAACTGATCTATTCAATTTAGTTTTTAAAATGTTGGATATAGTCATTCTCATCTTTGTTTATTCTAAAACAAATAAACATGTCCATTTATTATTAGACATTGAAAATTTTAAGGCAGGAGAAATTTTAAAATTGCTTTTGCAGTAGTAATCTGTATTGAGGGAAAAATCGATGAAACGCCTACTGATTGTAGGAGATTTAGCAACCCTGGTTATTAATTCCAAATAAGTTAGATTCTGGCTGGACCCAGTTTTAAAAAGGTCAATTAAAGTAATATATATATTTTAAAATTTAATTGAAAAAAAAGCATTTTATTATTAAATATTCAAGAGTGAAATTATTTCATGCTTTAACACCACCAATTAAGTTCTTTTATTAAACTTAACAAATTATTTTGTCTAATTATAATTCATAACCTTTGTTAAAATATTCGAATATAATGCTATCTTCTAGCCATTCAGGTTTAAGGTATTTTAATAAATTTAAAAATTCCTTTTTGTAATTATTCTGTGGAATGAGGATAGGAATATATGGAATATTAAACATTTTAAAATTTTTTGATAAAGGATATACTGATTTCTCCTATAAAAGATAACATCCGTCATATGTCACTTATCAATGACACTGATACTAATTGTGAGCAAATCTAAATTAGGAATAAATTGTTAGTGATTTTTATTATTCTATGAAAACAATTAAAATTGTATAAATATATATAAATAATCAAAAAAAAATTTTTACTAACTTTTTAAAAAGGTAAGAAAATAATAATTGTGTTCCTAATAATAATCAAATTAGATTTTTTTTACCTGGTATGGTATCTTGATGACGGCATTGTCTCGGGAAACCACTCCACAATCATGTCCATCCCCTCATTATGAAGAATCTCTCTTATACTACAGCACTATCTTTCAACCTCTACAAATGTAAGATTTGCTTCCTAAATTCCACTTCTATCCCTTTAGACATGGCATATCACGTCATCAACAGAGACGAGATGACACATCTTGGATCACCTATAGTGGGTGAAAAGGCTATCGAAACATTTTTAAACAAATCCCTTACAGTGGCGTCGCTAGGGGGGGGCATGGGCTAGAGTTCCCTGAAAAATTTGAATAGACCCTGAAGCAAAAAAAAATTTTTTAAATGGTACCTTAACCCCTTGAACTAAAATAAATTTTTTTGATTGCCCCTGAAAGATTTCTTTTATAATTCTATTAAGTAAAATATAAATTTAATTTTATTATTTAAAAATTAATAAGAATATCTGAAACTATGTCAGCTAGCAATCAAATTTTGTATTAAAAATAGAATATCAATATCACTCACTAAATATTAATTTAGCATTAACAGTTGAAGCTTAATTGACTATTATTATCTAAATTATTTTATAACCCTAATTAAATAAATATAATCATTTATTAATTGAAAACTAAAAATTTTAATATTGTAATAAGCAGAGTTCAAAATGACTAATCAACTGTATATTTATTTTTAAATTTTATTATCATACCTAATCCTAAAAATATTTTTAAGGTCCAAATAAGTATAATAAAAAGTAGGTAGACATATAGTTTATAATTCTCTATTATATATAGTTGTTGTTTATTAAATATTAGATAAAATGCCACTTTTATAGAAGTATTTGACAGTTATAATATATTTCAGCTAATATTATAATAAATTTTACTAATAAATGCTTTGATAATAAATATAGAAACAATTTGCTTTCAAGTTTAGTTATAAATATTTTTAAAAATTAAACATTTTAATATTCATAATACAATAGATTATATAAATTTGATATCTTTTCTTTTTTACGTTAGGAAAGCTATTTTTTATCTTTTTCAAAAAACAGTTTTAAGTTAAATTTTTAATACAAGTATATTTTTGATATTTTTACAAACTATTATTATTTTAAGATAAAATATACCAACTAGAGGTGGTGCGACAATATATAAAATCATCATTGTTGTTTCATCATATCATTCTGGTCCTTATTTTATAGTTCCCAAATGTTTCATTTCTAATATAGCATCCATGCCGTGTAAATATATCAAGGCTTTAATATATTTGCAAAATTATTTCCTCCAAAGATTTTTAGTGTTTATATTTTATCTATTTATCCAACATAATAAATTCTGATACTAGTTTACATCGTGAGTGTCATGGCTATTACTGCAAATTAACCAGCATCTATTATTTATGTTGCTATGTAATTTAAGATTATTACTACTACAGCTGAGGGCATATGATTGCATATTTTAAATAAACAATAATGGTCAACTGTGTAATCGTTTATATATATTTAAAATGGAGGATAATCTTTTAGAAATTTAATATCTCACAATAATTTTCTCGATTACTTATCTAGCTACCATCATGTCATTTAAAAGGAAGCTCTAACCACTTAATAGTTTTATGATTTGGATTGGTCGTTTATACTCTCTTCTTCAAGAATTGTTGATTTGGTTTAGGCCTATAAATTTTTCCTTATTAGTCCATTCTATAAATGTGTAAAATGATAATAGAGAGTTATATTAGTTTGATAACCTTTTGTCAATGTAAGTTGCTAAGAATTATATTATTGCAATATGTGGTTTTTAAAAACTATTATCAATTGAGGCATGTGTATGAATTAATTAATTTTTTTTATCACTTGTAATTCTTTAGACGCAAATTTTTTTTATATCAGCAATCGAAAATATTTTATATTGTAATAAATAGATTTTGTATTAAAAAATTTTATTTTTAGAAATGTCTTATATTGTTTTAATTATTTATATGCCAGTTTATTTTGTATGCATAATATAATAAATGAGAAAATTAAAAATGAGAATAAAAATTTAGAGTTAAATTTTAAAAAAGTATAATATATTAATATAAAACCCGGGCAAATTGGGGGCATAGGGGGCGGAGCCCGCCATATAATTTTTTTAGTTGAGCCTCCTGAGATTGTATAGGCTAGCGACGCCCCTGATCTCTTATCAACTTACCAAAATTAAACACATTATTTAATTACCTCCCAGCCCATCAATCCTTTTTTTTAATAAAAATTATTTCAATATACCTAAAATCCTTTACGCTCTGAGATCCTCTCCGATCTTTAAATGCCGCGACATGCTCGTTTCTCATGAAACCCAAATTAAGGGTCTACTTGAAAATGTATTAAACCTAAAATTTTCCAATTCATCCTCACTTCAGGCCACCATACCCAGCAAGTCTAGTGGTATTGGTATCCGATCCCCAAATCAACCTTCCCTCTCAGCCTTTATCTCATCTCGTCTTGCTGCTCAATCTATCATCGACAATGGATCCACTCTTTTAGATACTGACCTCTCGCAGGCCTTCCCCTTTAGGGAGAGCAGCTGCCCACCCACCCTTTATCGTCCCCAGCATTCAAAAAGACTGGGATGCTCCTCTGATCGCCCGTTCCGTTAAATACCTAATTTCGAACAGGCCCTTTGAGGACAACCCCAATAATTTAGTATTATATACAAGGGCATGTTAAAAATATCTGGAAGCCATCCCCAGTTCCAATCTAGGCTTCCCCTTGACTGGCAAACAGCACGCATTTCCAGAACCCTCCGCTTTGATGGTTGTAATGCTGTGGTTCCCTCAAATTTGCATCGACTGCGGCCATCCCATCAAATCAAAAGGTTAAGATCCCTTGCACTGCAAGTTCTCCCATGGACGACAACCGCGTCATAAATCTATTAACAACATTATCCTAGCTGCTCTTAAAAAAGTTAATATTCCATCTACCCTCGAACCAGTGGGCCTCTCAAACGGAAACGCCCTCATTCGACCAATGGTCTCCCACTCGCTTGGGACTACATCGAAAAGGCCGAAATCCTAAAAAAACAAATATGCTTGCCTCACCAACACCGTTTTTATGCCAATAATTGCCAATACGCTAGGCACGTTCGGAAGTGTTGCTCTCAATTTCATTAAAACCATAGGAAAAAATGGGGCAGATCTCAGGGGACCCCAATGATGGATTTTTCCTTCGTCAGCAGATTTCCCTAAAAATCTGCCGGTCCTATTTTTAAAGCATTCACTTTTCTCTAAGGTGATTTGTACCCTTTTTTTAATAAAATTTTTTTTTTCTCAATTCTTTTTTATACATATATATTTTTTAATTCATTTTTATTTTATGCTTATTTGTTTTTTAATATATATTTTTAATTATAATTTGTAAAAGATAAATTTGTGAAAATTTGTTTTTAAATAAAGTATTATATGAAGAAAAAAAATTGTTTATTCTGTCTAAGTAAAATAAATTCTTAAGTTTTTGTATTTATTTTTTTAGTTTTATGAAATTTTTTTAAAAAGAGGCTAAGGTATATTTGCAAATTATATTATTATTACTTATACAATGATCAAGTTGAATAAAAGTTACAATTTTTCTTGTATATAAAACAAAAAAATGCCTCTTTTATTTATTAATAAAATAAAATTAAGCATATAAAGTTTAATGAAAGTTTAAAAAAAATATATCTAAAAAAACAAAGGGAAAAATTTAAATGAGATAGCAGTAAAATTTGTTAGAAAGGCTCATCATAATTTATTCATATCGGATCTTAGGATCTAGATATTATTTTGTGATATGATAAGCATATCATATGGCGTTAATATAATTTTTTGATATTATATTTGTTGAATATGTTGATCGATGTTATTTTATTATTTATTTTGGCAATTGATTTATTTTATATTATATCAATTTGTATTTAAATTTAATCGGTCAAAATTTTATATTAACATTTTTTTTTGATAGATCAATTTGTATTAGTTATATTTTTTATTATTTTAAAAAAAAAGATATATAAAGGGATAAAAAAAGTGTAATGATAGTTAGAAAATTAAAAATGTAATTTATCAAATAATAAAATTAAATTATGATTTAAAATAAAATGTATTATAATTATCTAACTATAATAAAACGTGGAATTAATACTATTCCAACATGGAGACCAATCCACGTCCGAACTTTGCGTAAGTACTATCTCAAAATTTGGTCTTGATTATGCAATGTACATTTATTCTATTTCACGCCTTTATCGATTATAATTCTCTTACGATGGATGCTTTGAACAATTCCACATATACGACTAAATTTTTCAAACTGGATTTCCCCAAATTTAGTAGCGATGACAGCGCCTACATATGGAAATTACAGAATTTCTTCAACACCAGCAAGATCTCCAACGGAGAAAAGGCCGCTTTATTTCCGAAGTCTTCCTGATGACGAATTCAATCATATTGGGGCAATTTGCACTGAGGAAGACTCCCAGGACCCAATAGTCCTGCTTGGCAAATTCAAGTTACAACATCCATAGAAGACCGATAACGCGAAACTATCATTATTTTATGCTACAACTCAAGACAAGGATGAGACGTTCTCGTCTTGGGTCACGCGCGTAGCACAACTCAATAAAGAATGTAAATTTAATGGCATTCAGAGAATTATTGAGAAAGTGAGAGTATCTTTGTATTTGAAAGATGTCAGGAAGGCGGTCAAGAGCTCTATGACTATAGAAGACATTTACAATCTAGGTCTAGAGGAAGA